AACAAGCCCACCAGACGTTTGCAGGTCCGCACAGACTTCCTGGATCGGCGCCGCACTCTCCTAGCGGCGCCTCCCGCGCCGCCCCTCCTGGCGCGCTCCGTCCAGGGGCCGGCCCGAGAAGCCCGCGCGTTTTCCCCCGAATGTTGGTGCTCGTGCAGTTTTTGGTGTGCTCCGATGCTGGGCCCAAGGGGGGGAGGAGTCTGATGGGCAAATGTTCCACCACCGCGACCAAGATGTAGGATGAGGAGGCCCTCCTCCTCCTCCTCCTCCTCCTCCTCCTCCTCCTCCTCCTCCTCCTCCTCCTCCTCCTCCTCCTCCTCCCCCTCCATCTCCAACGTACGGTAGTGGTGGTAGAAAACGGGCCCAGCAGAGTCAGTCCGGCTGCTCCCGTGCCTCCCCTGGTCTGGCACTCTGTCCCTCTGGCCTGGCACTCGGCTGCGCGCAGTGACCTCTGGTGCGGGCCCGCTGGCGTCCTCCCTTCGGCATCTTCAGATATGCCCGCATCCCAGTGTGCCAGGATTCCTTGGCGCCAGCAGTCTATCTCCTCGAGGTGGGGGACTGGTGCCACGAAGCCCGACTGAGACCGCATCTGTCCCCACCTGGGGGGACATATCATACAGCGAGGACGAGGTCTTTCCGAGCGGGCATGGGGATAGGTCTAACGATGCTCACCCCCAGCACTGGCTCACGCCCTAGATTTGGTGCCACCGCGGCCTCCCAAAGCCGTGCTCCAGAGGTTCCTCGTGCCTGGGGACACTCCTTGCATGCAGCCGAACCGCGGGCCAAGGCCTCGTGAAGCACGTGGGAGTGTCGAACTACGGGTCCGCAGGGCTGCGCGCTTGCCACAGCGCCCTGAAGGCGCGCGGAGTCCCGCTGGCGACGAACCAGATCCAGTACAGCCTGGTGTACCGGTTCCCCGAGCTGAACGGCATGAAGGCCCCCGCCTCCCTCCCTCCATCGAGCTGTGGCCCGAGAGAATGGCACCCTTGGAGGGTTGGCGGAGCCATGCCGTTCTGCGATCAAGGCTAGTCGGGACGACTTCCAACTCTGGAGCGCGGAATCTGGCCAGGACGCACAGGAGTTTAATCAGGGTGGCCCCCGAGCCGCCACAGAGCAGCCACAAGAAGCGAGGCTAACGCAGAGTTGCAGGACACTATCCAGCCACGCGCAGAAAGCCGTCTTCTCCCCAGCTCGGGGTTTAGACTGGAGCTCCAGCCTGTGGAACTTTTGCAACTTCATTCATTAGGAGACCCCGCCAGATTGTGGAGGCGTCAGTCATTCACCGCCTCCTCCACATGCACTTCGAACAAACACGAAAAAGTGTGACGCTGGCCCATTCGTCCTCTCGTTGGCACCTCATATTCACGGCCTCGCGGTCCAGACTCCTCAGCCGCGACCGCATGGATACTACGCTGTTTCGCGCGGATGCCCCGCGCGGACCGTGTCTATACCAGCTTGCATCCATAGGACCTCGCCCTGGCATCCAGAAAGCGAGCACATTGACATGGATACGTTCATCGCTCGTGATCCTCTTCCATCCGTCCATACCTCCCTCCCACTACCACTCCCGATGATCCTCAGGACGCGTATTAGCCTACAGTGTGTTTATCTCGCGCAGCTCCACCGATAGCACGCAGCCTGTGTCGGCCCTCATTAGCCCGCGTCGCATTGAAGGCCCTCGCTGGAGGATCCTCGACTCTGCCACGTCCTTGCCATGAGCCCGTCTTTTCATTCTCTCGCGATAACCGTTACCGGGGGGGATGTGGGCGGAAGGGTGCCGGTAATTCCACAGTTCGCGCCGACGCCGTCCAGGAATCAGCAACCTCTAGCCGTTCCTAGAATGCGACGACGCGGATCGCAACGTCACTGGGGGGGGGGAAGGGCGTCCCCGGTAGCGGGCGTGACCGCGAACCTTGGAAACACGTGCTCCGCTGAGGCCACCTGCGACGAGCTCGGGGTCAAGGTGCTCGCCTACAGCCCGCTCGGGCTCGGGACCCTCACCGGAAAGGCCTCGCTCGACCGCCTCCCCGACGGGCCGCGTGCGAAGATCTTCGAGAAGCTGCTGCAGGATGGGGCCGTGCGCGCACGGCATGCTCCGCCGCGTCAGCGGCGGCGGCGGCCGCAGCGCCGCATTCTCGAAGAAGCATTGGCACCTTGGCGGCCTGGTGCGCCCGTGTTGGAACGCAACACGTACCGTGTTAAAAACGTACGTGCTAACACGCTGCGTATTGGCTCGGCACGTGTTGGTCCTCGTTTTGGCGAAGGTCTCGCGCCAAACGTACGTTTTCGGTCTACGTGTTGCGCTCCGTGTCAACACGGTACGTGTTGCGTGTTGTGTATCAGGGCAGCTAAGATGGGCACAAACACAAATTTTCGGAGGTCCGCGTGTGCGGATTCTTGGGTCGGTGTTGGGCGTCCCTGGCGGCGCCTCCAGCGCAGCCCTTGGCGCGCTTCGCGTGCCAGGGGGAGTGGTCCAGCGCCGACTCGAGAAGTCCGCGCGGACCTTCGAGAGTCTAGTTTTGCGAAGTCATATCTTGTATATCCTCCGCCTCCTCCTCCTGTTCCTCCTCCTCCTCCCCCTCCTCCTCCTCCTGCTCCTCCTGGAAGCCTATTGCTCAAATTCTCAAATCTGCGGATCCGCCCTCAAATCCTCAAATGCTCAAATGCCGCGGACCAGCCCTCTTGAAAGCTATTGCGGACCTGTACACGGAGGTGATTTGCAGTTGCAGTGAGCCGCTGGCGTCTTGGAAGCATTATCATGTGGCCGTGCCCTTTAATATATATATATATATATGTATGTATTTATACATATATATATGATGCTAATGTACAGCAAAAGTACAGGCCGATCTCACTTTGCACATGAGGAACAAACTATCCAGCACGGTAATGCACAGCCAGCTGCAGGTATATCGTGCGCCAGAGCAGTCCGTGGATCAAGCTGGTTTCAAGAAGTGTTATTCTTGCGACGGCCATCTACTCAGTGTTGGGAGTTCGGCAGGGACCTCTGGGTTGCGGCTGCTGGCTTGGACAGATTGTGGATTCAGCTTCTCACGACAGTATATGGGCTGCACTGCGCGCTTAACATGTCCTGGAACCGTACATTCAGACACTGGTTCGCTTGTACTGGGGAAAGACGGCGCAAGTTGTGTCAGACCGCAGCAGCGTGGTTGACAGTCTGGAGAGAGGCACGCGCCAAGGCGGCCCGCTAAGCCCAGCTCTCTTTAACGCGGACTTGGTGAACTCCGTGCGCAATGTGAAGTGCGCGCGGAGAAAGGAGAGGCGCGGTTTTCGTACTGGCGACGAGTACCTGACAAACTTATGTTTTGCAGATGACATTTTGTTGGTGGGGTCGTTTCATGCTTAGACCCGCCACGTGCTCTGCGACTTGCAGGAAGTAGCCGGCGAGTGCGGGTTCAATATGCCCATGGACACGACGAAGAAATTGTCGAACGTGGAGATCTAGCGCGGGGTTTTGCGGCAACACAAGTTCAGGTGGGCGAAGGGCGCGTGGGTGCGTTTCCTTTTGACGGCGACGTTTTCTACCTGGGCAGACAAGTTTCGTTCGCGAACTTCCACGGCGACGAATTGACTCACCGCCTTTCTTGTGGGTGGGCTGCATGTGGACAGTCAAAAAAAGAGTTGACAAATCAGAATTGCCAGCTGCGCTTCAGAATGCGCCTTTTTTTTCAGCGCAGCAGTTACCTTTTTCCGTGCTGCGCGGCAGCGGATGTTTGACCATGACGGGCAATCGGGCACGCAGGCTACAGACCGAGGAGAGAAGCAGGCTGCGGGGCATCGTTCAGACATTGCGACGGCATTTGGAGTTGGCCGATATGAGTACTGAGCAGGCAACTTGGGTAGACTGGGTTATACGCGCAGCACGGAATGCCGAATGGCTTTTTCCGGCGTCTTGGTCGCAGCAGTTGGAATGATCAACAGCAAGAGAGGAAGCGCCAATTGCAAAGCCGAGCCCAGAAGTGCGAGGACGGGCGCTGGTCCACCAAGCTGTTAGATTGGACAGCTGAGGGCACTCGCATGCTTGGACGGCCCCACAAGCGCTACGCAGACTGATCCCGCTGTAGTTTCACTGAGCGAGCCCGTCAACCCTACAGGGGCACGGGCGCGGGAACTCCCGCAGCGCTGTTTCCTTCCTTCCTTCGTCCTCCTCCTCCTCCTCCTCCTCTTATCCATTGCAGATGCTGAGAGATGGTGGTGGGGTGGGGGGGGGGTATTTTGCATGCAGCACAGCATGCGCACAATGTAGAGACGGGTTACGGTCAGTGGGGGGGAATTGGGTCCAGCGTACAAGGTGTTGCCCGTGTATCGGGGCAGATGGGAAATTCACCACCACCCCCATCGATCATATTCGGATCCCACAGCTGATCTGGCTCAACCACGGCCCGGGCACGCAGTGTTGCGCACTAGCGGGGTTTCTCGGAGTGCGCGACACGGGAGGCCACCCATGGACTTCGCGGGCAGCAGCCAGCTCCTATGGCCCTGCGGGCGCTGCGACAAAGGGGCTCGGGCACTACGAGATAATCGAGAGCCGCAGGGGGCGCGCGAGGAACGAGCCCGGCCATGAAAAAGTTCAAAGGGGCAATTGCAGTCAATGGAAGAGGGCGCGCGTCGACTGTGGGATGGAGCTGAGGCAGGAGGAGTGGGGCGAATGGAATGGCGAAGAAAAGACGCTACATGGATGAGAGAAGGATATTTCGAGAGAGCAGGTCTGTCGAGCACAGATGGGAAAATAACAAGTAGCCGCGTGGGCAGCCCAACCCTTGGGGGAGATCAAAGCAGCACAAGCTCTCCCGGCGGAAGAAGAAGGCCCAAAGAGAAAGTCTCGCCATGCAAGGAACAAGTTGGCCCTGGAGAAGCCAGGGGAGATGGCGAGGGCACTGCTGGGGGGGGGGGGCATCAAAATGAATGGGGGGGGGGGGCATCTTTGCTGCCTTGCAGCAGAGAATGAGGAAGCATGGCAGAGGCTGCGCGATGCGCCGAGGAATACGACATCCTGCTCAACAAGCGCATGGCCATGGACATCATTGACGAAGACGCACTGAAGGCAGCAAAAAAAGAGCTGGATGAAAGAGAGGAGAGAGAGAGAGAGAGAGAGAGAGAGAGAGAGAGAGAGAGAGAGAGAGAGAGAGAGAGAGAGAGAGAGAGAGAGAGAGAGAGAGAGAGGAGAGAGAGAGAGAGAGAGAGAAGAGAAGAAGAGAACCCCCCCCCAAAAAAGAGAGAGAGAGAGAGAGAGAGAGAGAGAGAGAGAGAGAGAGAGAGAGAGAGAGAGAGAGAGAGAGAGAGAGAGAGAGAGAGAGAGAGAGAGAGAGAGAGAGAGAGCTGCACGAGATCGGCGACAACAAGACGGCGAAGAACACGGGAGAAACAAAAAAAAATGTCAGCGTACCTCGAGGCGCTGGACTTCGTGGACAAGCGGGGCGACGACGTGCAGCTGTTCAACGTATGCAGGAGGAGCGCAGGATGGGGCGAGAAGCAGGGCGTCGCTTACTCGCGCGGGCTTGCCTTCCCGAACAAGTTGTGGTGGAAAGGCCCCAGCCCCCACTCGAGAGGGGAAAAGCGACAGTTCTGGCGCAAGGTGGACTGGTCGCAGCACGTCGAGGCGCGGAAGAGCCACCCAGAAGATGAGCTCATGAAAGAGTGCGTTGGAAAGATGAAGGACGCGTTCGGCGATGACTGGGTAAGATGGCCTGTCTTCGGGTGCAAGTCGAGGTTCCTCCCTTTCAAGAGTGGGCCGCCAGTGGCGGTGTAGCTCAAGGTGGGAAATGGTTGGGGAGCGCTCGCAGCGGACGGGCTGCCGCAGCAGCTAGACCCTGGACGACGCCATCAAGGAGTGCCACTGCAAGTTCTGCGACGCCGCCTAGAAAATGAGCCCAGAGGAGCTTCTCGAGCTGACCCCCGCGGCCTTCCCGATGGCGCACGAGGTTGCAAGTTGAGATCTCATCGCACGGCACCCAGCGGGCGCGTGGGAAAAGGCTGGGAAAAGGGGCCATCACCGCGCAGAGCTGGCGCGAGCTGGCGCTGAAGATTTCGAGGACTGACGGGGAGAAACACCGCGAAGTCATGAACCTCGCCATGATGGAGCTGATCGACGAGGACAATCTCGACCCAGGGGAAGTGAAAAGGCCCGAAGAGCGACAAACGCAGACCCCGCTGGACGGAGACGAGATCTTCGAGGAAAGGCTCGCCTACCCTTGATCGGAGGAGACGACGGCGGCCAGCTTCTCCAGCGGCCACCAGTGAGAGCACCCGCTGGAGCCCACGGGAAAGCCGAGAGATGCATTGGCGAGGCTTTCTCGGCGCACTACCCTGGGCAAGCTGGACGAGCCCACTGGCAACTCCAAGAGATGCACTCGCGAGGTTAGTTCGGAGTGCTACTCCTGGGCAAACCGGACAGGCAAACGCAGAGTGCTCGCGCGGACATCGCCATGGGAAGTTCGGAGTGCTACTCCTGGGCAAACAGGACGGGCAAACGCAGAGTGCTCGCGCGGACATGGCCATGGGAAGTTGTTTTGGGGAATGCCGACCAGCACACTACTGCAGGGTGATGAACGGGGGGAAGAAGTGATCATCGCGAAGGCCACCAGCGCGCATCCTCGATGGCCCCACCTACAACATATCGTGACCACCAATACGCTCTACCCCACATCCACTTCGAGGGGGGGCAGTGGAATACTTCAACAGGGCATCAGAGTACATATACGACAACGCATGGGACAACTATTGGCCAGTTGGATGTGGAAGAGAAGTGAGACGAGCGAGAGAGTAGATACTATGATATAGCCATATCCGTGGGAAAATGAGACCCCAGCAACAATCTGGGAGGCACGGGCCTCCCGACCCTCCCCCCTCCCCCTTTGGAGGTGTCGTGTCGCCGTCTTCTCCCCCTAGCTTGGGCGCGCTGCTAAGCCCGCGCGTCCCCACCCTTTGGGCACGCGGAAGAACCAGACCAGCAGCTGCCCCCCCCCCCCCCGCACTGACCCGCAGTGACTCGCAATCGCAAGGTGGCGAGCCTCTCTTACGGGGCCACCTCGGAGCTCACTCCTTGAGCAACGGGGCGCGCCCCCTGCTGGTCCCAGTGAGAAGCCAGGGCCGTTGCACAACCAATCGCACGGGATGTTGCCAGATGCGCGCAAGGCACCAGCGTAGGTGCTTTGACGCTGGGCCCCCTTTTATGCGGATGTCCTTGTTCTTGTCCTTGTCCTTGTCCTCTCCTCCTCCTCCTCCTCCTCCCCCTCCTCCTCCTCCTCCTCCTCCCCCTCCTCCTCCCCCTCCTCCTCCCCTTCCTCTCTGCGTCCGCATCCCTCCTCCCGCTTCGGCACCACGCTGCGCGGCCCCACGGATGCCTCCGAGCTGGGTTGCGAGGGGCGTCCGAGCCCTTCCTCCGTGCGAGCGCACAGCTGTCAACGGCAGGTTCGTGCCGAGTCGACGAGGCGGTGGGATTGGCGCAGGCGCAAGGTTGAATGCTGCCAGCCGCCAGCGGCCTGAAATGAGCATTTACCGCAGGACGCTTTCCTGACTGCACAGTGGTCGTTGAGCCCCGTCGAAACCGATGGCGCCAAGTTGCCGCCACGCCCATCGGTAGCTCGGGCGCCAGGCGCGATGCGCAATCTCGTCGCTGCCGGTGACGTCATCCTTGCCAGTGGCACGAGTGGAGGAAATGCTGTTCACCTGATACGTGTTCCCCGCCAGCACTGCCAATCTCAAGGTTGTTCACAGAGGCATAACAGCTGCATGTGGCGCACATTTAGAGGTTTTCCATCAGAATTTTCTGGACGGGCGACGGGGAGGTCCGCTTGCGGGCAACGGGCACAGCGTGGCGGTGAGCGAAATCAGGCGGTGAAGGCTGAGCGTGGCCTGGGCAGGAACGGCAGGCGCTGAGCAGTTTTCCGCGCAGTTATGTTTGCTTGTTGTAGGTCGCAATTTAGGTGTCTCGCGAGGAGCAAAGTGGAAAGGGAAGCGCGCTGTCACAACTCACGCTTGCGCATGGCGTGTTTCGTTCACTTTCCCAGCAGTCAGACGCGTTGCTGGCGGCGGGACATTGACCCAATCGCGTTATCCAGCTGAAGATCCCAGGACAAGTCGTCCCCTCCTTCTCCCCCACCGAGGCCTCATCGTGTCCTGTTCCGGTCTTTGTCAGAAGGACGAAGGCTGGGTTGCTGCGCCTGTGGCGCGCCAGCGCGACAGGTGGGTTGCTCAACCCGGTTCTGAAGAGGAACTTGTCGCTAGCATCGTGTTTTATTTTGGCCGTTGGCGGCCCCGCCGAGGCGCACGCGCGGTAGTTTTCCATTGCTGCTCTTGCCCCCCATGCTGTTCCTGCTCCTGCCCCCGTCCACCCTCACCCTTCTGTTGCCAGTGCTGCTCCTCCTCCTCCTCGTCCCTCTTCTCACCCACCTGCTGCTGCGCCACGTGCTCCTCTTGCCCCCTCTCTCCGCCTTCTTGAAGGGCAGCGGACTTGTCTTTCATCAGTGTTGTTTCCGTATAGTCTCTTCCTGGGTTGTCGTATCGTCTCTTGGCCGGTTTTCCATTGTCCGCCCCCCCCCCCCCCCTTGCTGATCAGTGTCGATCCTGCTTGTCCCCATCCTGGACCTCGTCCTCGTCCGTCCCATCATCTTCCTTCCATCAGAGAAACACAGGGTGGCCAATGCTAGTGGAATCGCATGGACGTCACCCGAAGCTCGAATGTGTAACCGTCGACGTCGGCCTTTGGGGGAGAGGCAGAGCCCGAAGCAGAATCGGAGGTATAAGCACGCGGTGCGAATGTGCAGTGGAGCCTGTTACGGAATTCCCTCATTATCAACAGCATCATCATCAGCAGCAGCATCATCGTCATCAAATCATCATACGCATCATCGCCATCATGAATCATCATGAATCATCATCATCATCATCATCATCATCATCATCATCATCATCATCATCATCATCATCATCATCATCATCATCATCATCATCATCATCATCGTCGTCATCATCATCATCATCATCATCATCACCCTCATCCCCTCATTCGCGGACGCCTGAAGGACCCGGCGTGGCCGGGTCTCGACAGCACCATGCGGGAGGTCGCCAGAAGCCACGGGCCAGACGCTGACCCGGCACAGGTGGCGTTGGAGCGGTGCGTGCGCCGAGGAGGGAGGGGGAGCAGGACCCGGGGAGGACGGGGTTAGGAGGGAAGGAGGAACAGGAGAAGGAGGACACGGGGAAGAGGAAGTGGAGTAAGAGGAGGAGGAGGAGGAGGAGGAGGAGGAGGAGGAGGAGGAGGAGGAGGAGGAGGAAGGAGGACAAGGTGGACAAGGTGGACGAGGAGGACAGGGGGTGGAGGAAGGAGAGGACGACGGGGAAGGACGAGGGGAGGAGAGGGCGAGGAGGGAAAGGGGGAATGTATGAACAGGAAGAGAAGGAGGAGGGAAAGAGGAAGAGCAGAGGGGGAAGCACCGAGGAGAAGGAGGAAGAGGATGAACAGAAAGGGGAAGAGGAAGAGCAGCAGCAGCAACAGAGCGAAGGGGAGGTGGAGGAGCAGGAGGAGGAGAAGCATAAGGAGGAGGAGGAGGAGGAGGAGAATGCGGACGAACAGGGTGAGGGATAACGAGGAGGAGGAGGAAGAGGAGGAGGAGGAGGACGACGACGACGACGACGACGGTGATATGGCGCAGGTGGCGCTGGCGTGGTGCGTAGCAAAGGGCACTGTGCCCATCGCGGGGGTCCGCAATGCCAGGCAGGCCGAGAGCGACGTGCTGTCGACGAGGCCGCGGCTCCTCCCCGGGGCGCTGGGGGAGGAGGAGCAGCAGGAGGAGGAGCAGGAGGGGGAGAGAGGAGGGTGGAGGAGGAGGAGGAGGAGGAGGAGGATGGGGAGGAGGGCAAGCTAGGTGCGCTCACGTCATACCTGACGTCCTACCCCTTCCTCCCATACCCTACCATGGCGTAGATCTGCTTTCTGTTCGCACAGTCGGATGACGTACCAGGGCATAGTATGACATGGCATAGCATGGTGTTGACGATCCACGCGTAGCCTGACATAGCATGGCATAGAGGAGGCGGAGAAGGGTGAGGAGGCGGAGGAGGGAGAGGAGGGAGAGGAGGATGTTGATGTCGGATTACACGCCAGTCGCTGAAAGCAGGTATTTTTGGATGCACATGTCCCATCACTAGTTTAGACGCCCTCCTACTTCAGGAGTCGAGTGGTATTCCTTCTGCACTCGTCCTCAGGGGGCGGGCGGAAGCCCACTCTACTTGCAGCGCCTTCCTAATTCATGTTTCTGCCCACTTCTTGCCGACCGACGGGTACCGATGCCGCCCCCGGGGGCGCGAGTGGAACCGCGCCTCGCGCCCGGCAGCCCGGGCCGCAGAGGTGGCCGCCCTCCTGGGCGGCGGCGCGAATTGGCGCGGAGATGTCCGCGCGAATCGCGCATGGCGGGGCGCGGGGCTCGAAGCGAGGTGGCCTGGGGGCACACAGCCCTAAGGATGTCGGGCTGTCTCAAGCATGGATCAAGGGGGCGTGGATTTGCGACGGGTCCAGTTTCCATGGGAAATCGCGGATTTCCGCCGCCGAGCGAGGCGGCACCGACCGCATTTTTGGGAGGGCACCTCCCCCGATCCATGGATTTGGCGACCGCGCGCCAAATCCATGGATCGCTAATCCATGTTTGCGCGCCCCGAGGATGGCTGGTTCGTGTGAGATGAGTGGACGGCCTACCGACCCACGGCCGAGGGGAAAGAGTGCTCTCATCGCCCACCGTCGTGGCTGGCTGCATTGCGGACTCGTCGAGTTCCGCGCGGCTTGGGTGATGCCGTCTCTGGTGTGTGCCCCTTCGAGGCCGCCTCCACTCGCAGACCAGGCAACCTCTGGGCGCGCGCGGGGGTCCTCTCGTCGCTATTATTTTCTCTGCGGCTTCCGCCGCCGCTTTGACAGCGAGGATGCTGCGCGATTCGCCGCCGAGGTAAAAGGAGGGGAATCTCATGTTGTCGGGTTTCACGGCCTCAGACTGTCACTGTGGCCTTCGGCGGAGCTCCATCTGGGTCCACGAAGCGCGCGAGGGGTGTGCCGAAATGGGCTCGGGGGCGCATGTGAGAACTGCCACTGTGGGCGGCTGGTCCCTATAAGACGATGTGGGCTGGCTAGCCAGCCACGGCCAAGATGGCTGAACAATGTGGCCTGGGTGTGTGGCGTCAAAGATAGAGTGAAGAGTAGCCTTGTGGAGCACAAGCAACGAACAACAGTCTCTGGCCAATTGTGCCAAACTCCGCTGCGGGGAGGGACTGGGTGAGTTGTGCTGGGATCTGAGGCTGAGGGCGAGGGCAGATCGGATGGCAGCTGGGTAGCAGGGAGGATTGGGACAGTGCGCGCTGCGAGGGGAAAGACACGAAATGGTGTCAACCAAACTTGTGGCCAGATATGTATGCCGGCTCGAGAGATGGAATGTCCCGCGAGTGCAGGCGAAAAGGGTGCGTCCCAAGGAGGATGAGGAGGAGCTCGGGAGTTGAATGAAGAGTGGGAGGAGGAACCTGAGGAGGAGAAGGATGAGGAAGGGAGACAGAGGAGGAGCTGCGAATGAGAAGGATGAGGTGGAAGAGGACGGTGAGGCGGAGAAGGACGATTGTAAGTCAGAGGAAGATAACGAGAAGGAGGAGGAGGAGGACGACGATGACGTATGCGAGGGGAAGGAGGACAAGGATGATGAGTTGGAAGAGCACGGTGAGTATGAGGAGGTGGGGTGGAGCATGGACATAGTATATTGTGTAAACATAAATGTGTTCGGATCGAACAGCAACGACACACACATATATATGTATGCAAGCACAAATCTCATGTTACATGTGCAGAGGGAGGTACAGACAGGGAATGAGAGAGAGAGAGAAATAAGGAACGCAATGATGAATCTGATAATAGGAGAGGGCACTGGTATATATATATAGATACGCGTAAAAAGTGCAGAGCAAAATAGTACGAGTAAGAGGGAGGAGGGAGAGGCGAATAAGAAACCAAAAGAGGAGGAGGAGGAGGTGAAAGATGAGGAATGAGGAAGAGGAGGGTAATTGTGATCATGTGCAGGGGGCGGAAGTGGAAGAGGACGAGCAGCAGCAGCAAGAGTAGGGGAGCGGGGAGGAGGGTGACCAGGCTGCAGCTCTCCGAGGGGGAGGTGGCCGCGCTGGACGCCGCGGCGTCAAAGGTGGCCCCGTACATCGCGCCAGAGGACAGCCCCTTCAAGGCCCTGTGGCGCTTAGGAGAAGGCTCATCCACGGCATCCCCACTGCCTTCGGCCACGAGGGTCAGAGGATGGCCAGCTAAGGTAGGGGCTCCTCGTCGCCACGGCTTGGCGCAGCTCGGATAACTGGTGCGTTGCTGCCGTTGCCTTGATTCGCCCTGCTCCGGGAGGGGGCGGAAGGGGGGTAGGGAGGAGGAGGTGCCCTCAGATCTGGGCGACGCAGCTAAGGCCCTGAGGGTGTCCCTGGACACCAAGCAGGAGCTCTACGAGGCCTGAGTCCTGGCGCCCGCCCCGCCCAGTTTTCGGTCCGCCCATCGGCCCCTGAGGGCCGCCTGGATCGCTGCCTCGGCACTCAGGAGAGCGACGCGCGGCGCAGGTGCCCAGAAAGAGGCACGCCGAGTCCGCCTTCCTCTGCATGCTGTCCTCCATGCTTACCCTCCTCGCTCGCTTGCTGGCCCCCCTCGCTGCCTCACCGCTCATCCCTCCCCATCCCTCTCCCTCCCTCTCGCTCCCTCTCCCTGCTCCTCTCTCTCTCTCTCTTTCTTTATTTAGTTTGTTGTTTATCTCTCTCTCTCTCTATCTCTCCCTTCTTCTCTCTCTCGCACTGTTGTTGTTTTCTCTCTCTCTCTCTCTCTCGCTCTCTCTATATGCCTTTAGTCTCTCTCTCTCTCTCTCTTTCCTGTCGGTCTCTCTCTCTCTCTCTCTCTCTCTCTCTCTCTCTCTCTCTCTATATATATATATATATGTCTCGCTTTCTCTCTCTCTCTCTCTCTCTCCCTTTCTCTATGTGACTCTCTCTCTCTCTCGCTCTCTCTCTCTCGCTCTCTCTCTCTCTGATCCGAGGACATACCCCGACTGTTTTCTCGGACCCTCTCCTCGCGTGGGTGCACCATTCACCCGTGGGAGAGCTGGCCGCCCTGTGCATGGCTCCTAAGAAGAGGCCGAAGGGAGGCAAGGATAAGGCGAAGGGTGCTACGGCCGCGAATGGCGCTGAGGCCCTGGACAGCGACATGTCTGAGGATGATGCTGCTGCTGAGCATCGCGATGCTTATATCACGAGTCTGGTGGACGACCTGCGCACGGATCTCATGGACAAGATCGAACAAAAGGTCCCGGAGTCTATCTCGGCCGCCGTGGCAACAGCTGTCGACCCAGTGCAGACCGCTCTCTCCTCCCTGCAGTCAGCGCTGGGAGCAGTGGAGGGCAAGATCAAGGCGCAGGTCGACCAGGCCGTCCAGGACTCGGTCCGCCCGCAGCTCGAGACCGCCACGAGAAGGTTCCAGGCGCAGCTTGACGCGCAGGCCCAGCGTCTCGGTGCGCTCGAGAAGGCATCCGGCGCGCACACGGCGGAGTTGGCGGCTGTCCGGGCTGAGATGGCAGAGTTGCGGGCTGCCCTGGCGCTGGCGGACAAGCGTCCGCTGCAGCCCGCCCCCGCGGGCCCTCTGTGGGGCCGGGAGCCTGACCCGACCATCATCAAGGTGTTGTGCGGGGGTTTGGTCAAGAAGGTGGACGTCCAGGCCCAGCTCGACCCGTGGTTGGCGGACTTGCGCATCGATGGCGACCATTACAAGCTCGAGGGTGAGATGGCCAGCAAGTCCTTCACGCTCCGGTTCACGGGCGCGGTGGGCATCGCGTCCCGTCGTGCTGGCAAGGCTATTGCAGGACTTCGTGGCAAGGATGGGTGGATTGAGTTCCACGCGCCGTCTGCGGCGGGGACTGGCTCGCTGCGCCTCAACCTCGGGCCCGACAAGAACGGCAAGCAGATCAAGACGGAGGTGCAGCTCAAGAAGGCTAAGGCGGCGCTGGCTGATGCCTTCGCGGGGCGGCCGTGGTTTGTCAACCGCGAGAAGGGCACGCTGTCGACTTCGTGGACGCTGGTGTGCAAGTTGGAACCCCAGCCCAACAACGAGGAGACCATTATCAAGTACAACCATGCGGGGCTCAGCCACCTGGGCCTCGCTCGCGAGGACGTTGCGCAGGCTCTCAAGCAGGTGGTGGCGCCGGCTCCGGAGCCTGAGTGGTGTCTTTGACCCCTTCGGCCGCATGCTCATACCTCGTGTCCACGGTGTTGGGGGTCGGCCGCACTGTGGCACAGTGCGCGTGGTGACGTGGAATGCGAGGGCGCTCCTCCAGTGGCGGGGGAGGCTGGGCAGCACGAAACTCAAGTACCTGCAAAGCCTGGGGTGCGGTTCTACTATTCTTTCTCTTCAAGAAGTTCGGCAAGATGGACGTCAAGTTCGCGATTTTTTGAAACGGGTTGTCCCTGGATCAGAAGTCTTCACAAGCTGCTTTACTCGTGATGGAGTGGGCCTCGCTTGTGGTGGGGTGGCGACTGCTGTTCCTCGGGCTCCGGGGGTGTCAATGGAACCTGAAGAAGTTGTTCGTGGTCGGGTTCTCCGACTTCGTATATGTAATCCTTCCTCGGGCCACGAGATTTTGCATTGGAATATCCACAACCACGCGTTGTCCGCGAGCACTGTCGGTATTTTGAGCCGGAGGCTCCTGGAAGACAGAGCCTGGGCGGTGGCGGCGCCATGCTCCCGCCTTCTCATCGTCGTGGGGGACTTCAACTTCGCCAGCGTGTCCCGCTTGTCGTATGATGCTCCCGTGGCTGCCCATCGGCAGCCCCGCCCGCAGCACGCAGCGGCGAAGCATTGGGCGGCGGCGCTGGATGTGCTGACGGAGCTCCGCACGCCGATGCCCACGCATTACTACAAGAGCGGCCACACCGTCTCATGCATCGATCGGATCTTTGTGTCGTGGCCCGGCTGGGTGCTGTGCCAGCTGCAGAAGAGCATGCGCGTCCACGGCTGCCCGGTTGATCTCGAGCGGCAGCGGATCAGTGACCATGCTGCTGTCAGTGCGGAGTTTGGTCAGCGGGCGGCAGTTGATCGTGAGCAGCAAGCCATGCCGCCGTCTGTCTTCAAGGACCCGAAGTACGCAGAGTACGTGGAGGCCATCATGGAGGGGCTGGAGGTCGAGGAGCTGTCTCCGCCGCGGCGTTTGGAGTTCATGAAGGAGGTGATGAGGGCTGCTGCCGCGGAGGTCCGAGCTCGCATCCTCGGGGGCTTCGGGCGGCCTCTCGCCGGTGACCTTCGGGAGCCCGCTGCCCGGTCGGCAAGGTCACCGACCCCGCTTGCCGCCGGTGACCCTCTGTCGTCTTCTGCCGGGTTCGCAGGGTCACCGGCTTTGCCTGCCTTCGTCCAGCAGCAGGTTGCCCGCATGATGGCAAGGGTGATCTGGCGCCAGGACGTGGCCTTGGCCAGGAGGCTGTGCGACCAGTTCGAGGTAGCCGCCAACCATTTGCACGTCACGGAGTCTGCGGTCACGTTGCTGGAGCCGGAGGTCTTTGCAGCCTGGACGAACGACGTCCACTCTTCGATCCTCGGCGCGGACCGCGAGGAGCTCCTGGCTACTGCTGCGCGCGGGCATCGCGCGTCGGCCGCCCGTGGCCGGGCGCGCGCCCTGGAGCGGAAGATGAAGACGTGGTCGCCTTTCGCCTCTTGCGTCACGCTGGCGGCGGTGAAGGTGGGCGACGAGGCGGTGACGGAGCCTCGAGCACGGGCTGCTGCCTTGTCCAGCTACTGGGCGCCCGTCTTCTCGCGCAAGGCCTGGGCCCCTCTGGACGCGCAGAGGTACGTAGATAGGATGATCAAGCCGTTCGACTTCTCGTCCGTGCCGCCACCGTCGTACGAGCTCATGGTGAAGGTGGCGCGTCAGGCGACGCACTCGGCGCCAGGCATCGACGGGCTCCCCTACAGTGCGTGGGCGGAGTCGCCGCACTGTCTCGAGGTGCTGTGGGCCGCGTGTTGCTGGCTCCTCTCGGGCCAGGGCCTCTTCGACGCCGAGTCCATCACGCTGCTCGCCTTCTTGCCGAAGGGCGAGGACGAGTCCGATGGTGTCGACGGGCGCTGTGCCAGGCCCCCCGACCAAGTTCGCGTGCTGGGCTTGCGCAATTGTTCGAGCAAGATCCTCACGGCCACGGTGAACGTGGCGCTGCAGGAGCCGCTGGCGAAGATCATCCCACTCTCCCAGAGAGGCTTCGTGCGGGGGCGGAACTTTGGGTACAACATCTTGGAGGTGGACCTGGAATCGCGGTGGCACAGCGCTCAACCTGACGCGGTGCAGAAATCGCCGATCACGGTGAGCTTCGACTTCGCGCAGGCGTTCCCATCGCTGAACCAGCTCTTCTTGGTTATGGTTTTGCGCAGGTTCGGCTTCCCCGAGGCCGTGATCGAGTTCGTTATTGAGCTGTATGCGGCGGTGCTTGCGGTGGCAGCCATTGCTGGCGTTGTGATCCCTCTCTTCTGGCAGCGCTCTGGGATCATCCAGGGCGACGGCCTTTCGGGGTCGCTCTTCGCCGTCGCCATGTCGCCCTTTCTCTTTGACGCCGAGGCTGACGTGGAGAAGAAGCGACATGGGATTGTGCGAGCCTGCGCGGACGACGTGGCGGCTGTGCTGGTCGCCTTCGTGCACATCTTGCGCATGCTCCGCATAATGAGATGCGCGGACAGGCTTGCGAATCTGGTCTTGAAGCCGAGCAAGTGCCACGTGGTTCCCACGGAGGCGGCCTTTAGCGAGCCCCTGCAGTCCAAGATCCAGGCGATGCTGGCCCAGCGCGTACCGCAGTGGGCGGACTTCAAGGTCGCGCCCTGCCTCCTCTTCCTGGGCCTGTGGGTTGGCCCCGCAGTGACGCTGGAGATCGCCTGGCGCGCCCCCTGGCGCAGGTGCAGGCAACGCGCTCGCGCTGTTGGGGACGGTGTCACCTCCGTCACGATGTCGGCCCGGTACTACGCAACGAGGGTCCTCCCCGTGCTGGGGTATGTCGGACAGTACTTGCCGCTCCCGTGGAAATTCCGGCGCGAGGAGCCCACGGCCTTGGCCGAGGTCTTCAAGATGCCGATCGGTGCCCTCACGGTGAAGGACTGGGTTCAGGTGAAGGGGTGGGGGGGCCCGCGCGTGCAGTCGGCGCAGGTCGCAACAGTGTCGGCCCGCATCCGGGCCGCCTGCGTTACGCTCTCGAAGTTCCGAGCGCTTCTCTCTCGACACCGGCGCCGAGTGGAAGGCGCCATTGACTTCGTGCCGTTGCCGATGGCCTCCTCGCGGGCGCTGGCCCCCATCTGGTGGAAGCTGCCCTCGTATGCGGAGTTCATGGCCGACGCGCTGGGGATCGCTGCGTTGCCCGAGGGAGCCAGCCACCCGCAGGCTCTTCTGACGGCTGGGCGCCAGGCTTTGTTGGAGGAGTTGGAGGAGGCTGGGCTGCGGGGGAGGAGGCC